CCCCAAAACCCCAAAACCCCAAAACCCCGTCAAATCTTAATTATTGTTTGCTAGAATAATTAATTAATAATTAATGCCTTGTAAATATTAAAGAAATCAAATTAAACTTGCTTGTTAAAACTGTTATATTATTAAGTAAACTTGCAATTATTATGTTTTGTATAGCACTCTCTGAGTCAATCATGGAGGTGACTGAAGTTATTAGAGTTGTTGTTTGTTGAGTTATTACTATACTTCTGTACGTACTTCTTTGCTTTCTTCCTGCTAGTATTTTTCCTCTTGTTGGATTCATTTTCAGAGAATACACTTGGAATGCAACTCTGCTCCAATGGGTGTCCTTAAAGCATGTATGATATTGGTCTTTGCTGCTATTATACTGATACTATATTATCCTCAATCAAAGTTGTTTTGACTGAGATTTTGTCAACAATTGATTGGGGTTTAACTATCCTACTCTTAGGGATCTCAGAATTGGTATTAATCATAAACAAATCCTGAGATCTTTTGCCTAGTATCATCCTGAATGAATCTTTGCTTATGGGAATCGATGTTTGAGGCCTATCTTATTATGCATGGAACGATTCAACTTGTAATTACGTTTTGATTTAATTATTGTCATCAAAGATAACCGAGTTGAGTGGTTTAGGCATTTTTTGTTCTTGTAAATTTTTGACTTAGTTATCATCTTCTTCTGGTAGCTCTTGCTGACTCAATCGTTTGCTTCTTCTCTCTTGATCTTTTTGCTTCTTCTTGTTGTAATTTTTTACCTATTTTTCATTCACTGAAATACTCTTTCTTTGTTCAAGAGGAATGGTATTATTTTCCTATTTTGACGAATCTTTATTAAAATTTTTTTAATTTTTGGTCTTTTCTACTATTTCTTTATTCAGATCTTCAAAATATCCTATATATTCAGCGTCGTTTCTTTTATTATCATCTCTATCATTCATGAGATCCATTCTTGATTGATCAGAAACAGAGAATAGAGAGCTATTGATATTATTATCTTTTTTAGATTTTCTCGATCTTCCCGATGGAACTTATTACTAATCTAACTCTAATTTGCTAATTTACTTCTTGACAACAATTGATGTTTTCTTTTCGCTTCTCTTGCTATCTCTTATTTCTGATATGTTTTTACCAGATTGTTTCTTAATGAGTCCTCTATTACTTCTGAAACTTTGATCAATCGATCTGCTACTTTTGCTCGCAATAGGGCTTTTTTAATTTTCTGTAATATTTTAATCATCATTGTTTTTTTCCTCATCATTTTTAATTTAGACATGACTCTATTTATTTTTGCCAAGTTTTGTTTCATTATCGTCGTCACTACTATTGCTTGAACTTATACTATCATCATTTTCAGTTATTTCATCTTCATCTACTTCTGGTATAGTCTTTTCATACTCGCCTTTTATATATTTATGCGAAACATCAAGCTCATCATCGAAATCAGGATAATTTTTTCCCTTTGAAGAAGCTGAATTCTGTCTTTTGCTCTCCTCTCTACTTCTCTAAGATCTCAAATGACTCAAATTAACATGAGATGCCTACTTTTAGTACACTGGATCAGTTGTCAAACCTAACTCCAATGTATTTTTCTTGATTTCTAGAACACTTTTTTTTCTTTATTCTTGCTCTGTTTGAACCTTGATCTTCTACTCGATTTGTATTTCATCTAAATCTCTTAGGGTATCATCGAAATCGAATAAAGGATCATTTTTTTATGCCAAGAGCACAATGTCTACCGGTGTTGGGTAAAATATCTTAGAAATTAGTTTTATGAAAAAATCTGGAATAAGACAAACAAATGGCACAGCAATTATCATCAACCAATATTATGGATAAATAACCATCCTATTGACTAATCCTAGGATTTATGGCTAGAAGACATAAGAAATAGGTGCTATTTAAGATAGAAGTAAGATTCCATAATAGAGCATCATACTGCCGACCCCTGTAAAAAACGTTATCAAGTTGAAGTGCCTCGTTTCAAGCAATAGCTTATAGAAAACCAGATGAATAATTATTGTAAAGCTGATGGTTGAGTGGAGCCAGTGATCACTTCTCTATCCATTTTCATCTGTTGTTGAAGAAGTAATACCAGTCTATATTATGAAATTAAGATTAATGATAATTATATACAATTAATGGAGCGTAAAAGCAAACAACGCCATGCCATATTGAAAGTAATATCCATTTCCAAAAAACTCTGAAGTTAAAATATAGACCTAATTAACCAACTTTATATATAACTGGATATTAGTATGAGTAATGCTCATTAATATCCTTTTCAAGAAATTGTGAAAAAAGGCAATGCCAACTTGTAAAAAATGCATTATATAACATCGGTAGCCAATCTAAGAAATATATTTATCCTGAAAAGCCATTGTAAAATGCAAAGTATAGCTCTGTGAAGACAAGGACAATATTTTTATAGAAGTAATAGCAAATCATCTAGGAAACTCTCAAATAGCCGTTTCTTCCATGTAAAAGAATCAATCTAAGGAGAAATTTAAATTATGAAATAGAAAAATCTGCAGACCTAACTGCTTGAGTTCCCTCTTTTCCCCTGATTCCTACTCCAATATGAGCTTCCATTATCATTGAAACATCATTAGCACCATCGCCAATAGCAAGAGTAATCCACTTGCCCCTAGATTTAAACAGATTTACAACATCAGCTTTTTATTTAGGAGACATTCTACAACAAACTACTGATTTTGATCTTATTGCAACATGAAAAAACAAATGGGCAAGTTTCTCATCTTCTAAAATTAATGTCAAGCAACTACCCTCTACAGTAATTACTTGATTTTCTTGAGCGATATCTTGAAGACATTTCACTGGCCAAGAAGGGTCAATATTGAATATAGAAATAAGCCTATTTAGTTTCTTTAATATTTTTTCTCTAACAGGCTTACCTATAATTTAAACTTTCATATCATCTTGTATGACTTAACAAGATTTAGCGATCTCAATGGCTGTTTCTAATTTATCTCCTGTAAGCATAAAAAATCTTATATCTGCCTCTAAAAGCTTTTTAATTGTGATCGGAACACCTTCCTAAAGTTTATCTTCTATCGCTGTACATCCAATATATCTTAGTTTCTATTCCATTGCCTCATATAATTGAGCTAATCTCTATTCTTTGTTGAAACTGCTTGATTCTTAGATTTATTGATAGATATTTTTGAAATTCTAATACTCCTCTCTGTTAATTGTTCTCTTTGTCAACATTAATGTTCTTAATCCCTCACTCGAAAAATCAAAAAGATCCTCTTCTATTATCTCTCTGATATCCTATATCCCATTCTTCTCATATGATATTCTGTTTAACATAACTGAGTCTGCACCCTTGCATAAAATTGAGTATGTCTTATTCTTTCTGTCTTTGACTATAACTGACATTCTTTTTCTGACAGAATCAAAAGGGAACTCAGCTATTAGTTTGTATTCAAATATCTCTCTTGATATCATATTGAACAAAGTAATTTTATTATGCTACCTAGAGACTAGTTAAACTCCAAAACTTTTAGCTGCTTTTACAAGTGCTAATTCATCAGGACTAGAAGCTTTATATGATTCTTCTTTTTTCGATCTATTCGGATCACAAACGACTGTGTTGCAAAGTGCAAGATTAATGAGAAATTCAGTTACATAAGGATAAGTAGCCTTTTCACCTAGCTACTTTCTTTCATCTATTTCTTCTCTGAAAAAATTTCTAATTTCTTTAATTCCTGAAACTGCCATTCCATCTTTATTTTCCTCCTATTAATTAATTTAAAACTCTAAGTTATACCTCATCTTTGTAAAGATCACCATACCTAATTCCATTTATTTAGCATTTTTTAAATATCATTTTGTTTTAGGTCAGTGTACCTGTTTTATCACTAAATACCATCTCTACTTGGCCTATCATAAATAGTCATCATACAAAAATTTCTACCTAATTCTTCGATTAAATCTGAATTTCTACATCTAGCAAAGCAATCAGTTTCTTTGTCAAACATCATCAGATCTTTACTGATAAAAGTAGCTACTCCAAGTTTCAGCACTTCAATTATAACATATAGACTTATAGGTATCATATGAGAATAAGCAACCCAATACACTATAAGTTAAAGAAAATATCTGCCGGCCAAGTTTTAAGATCCATTCTATATGTTATTGGTAAATTTTAAGAGTTAATTACAATATTAAGGTAATGATGATCAATGCCGTCCTCTTAAACCCAATTAATATTTAGTCCTGCGAATAAAGCAATTAAAAAGATTTGGAAAGCAAAGACACTATAGAGCATTTTATTCATCAATTTTAGCATATTTGATACTTTGTGCGGGGGTTTCTTTAAGTTTTTCATTATTTTGGTTTTCATTCCAGTATATATGACTATGCCGATTCCAAAATCTGTATTTCTCACAAAGCAACCTCTCAGCAGCAAATTTTTAATAGAGGCTAAGGGTGCTTTGATCTCCCCATAATCAAATTTAAATTTACCCTCCCATTTATCAAGATTTTCGTTCGGCTAGTCACATTTCAACTATCCATGCAAGACTTGCACATCCTTTTCTTCTATATTTTCTAACAAAGCTTATTTTTCTTTAAGATTAGTTTCGCCATCTAAATTCATTGTATCCACATTAACTACCCCTGACTTACTAGAACTAATTATTACAGCTATATCTGCAGGAGCCTCTTGATCCTTTAAAAATTTTACTATATTACCAACTTCTACATCCTCCCATTTCTTGCTTTCAAATTTCAAAGTTTGAGGATTTAGCACCAAAGAAATTTTATTATTTACTTCTTTGTCTTATTTATATCTTTAGTAATCCTTAAAAATCATTAAAAATATATTTTTACCTCATAGGCTTCTTTAATCATGGTAAAAATAAGGACTAACAAAAATGTTCCTATCATAGACGAAGGATCTTTTGGAGAAAATGGAAAACAGGTTAAGATTGATATAATCAGAAAATAAATGTTGGCTACTCGAGTAAACTAAAAAAACAAGGAAAATGGAGCCCACGTAAGTATAGTGTAACGCTGAGTCCTGACTTTGTTCTAAAGCTTTTTATTTAGATTAAGAGCTTATTGATCTTGATCACCGAAGTATATAATAAGATCATCTTTTTTATTTTGGCTATTTTTGTGCATAATTTCACCATTTGAGTCCTAATTAAAAGACGCTTGTGATGTAAGTTTGACTATATAAAATTATTATCTAAAGAAATGATTACACATATCTGCCCTAAGTTTTACAAATGACTGAAATCATTTTAGTTTCTCATCATCTAATTGTCTGATCTTTTCACTTTGACTACTAAGTTTTTCTTTGATCTAACCAAATTTTGTGGTACTCGTTTTAATAGTTGTAGATTCTATCTTTTGCCCTTAACTTGTTGGTTAGTCAACATTTTATCCACTACCTTTTTTTTGATTATCATTCAAACCTAATGAACTTATTTCGGATTAACTTTAGTCTCCCTGATAGGGAAAGCATTCTTTTTCATCTTTAATAGGTGACATAGTCGGTTCTTCTTATGAATTAGTTACAGAGTCGTCGTCATTAGAGCTATCTGATGATTAACTAGTATCTGAGTCGAGATTTTAAGATTTCTGATTATTCTCCTCCGTCTCTGTTTCATATATTGCCTCTTCTGGGGTTTGATCTGCTTATTTTATCATTAAATATATTCTTATAATTTTTGCTTTCAAATTATTTAGAATATACTAAACTTCTAAATTTTCAATAAAATCCACTTTATATTCTCTTACGGGGTTTTGGGGTTTTGGGGTTTTGGGG